GGGTAACACTGACAGTCTCCGAACTCTTAATGGAACTAATATATGGAGAATCGAAATAAAACTATGGCCTTACCCTAACCTGGGACGCATAGCCTACTATGGCAGTACCCAAGTTGGAAATCGACTAGTCCAATATTTCCATAGAAAACGATTTTCAGCTGCAACAACCCCAATACCTGTTTATTTAAAATTATCCCGGCCTTATAATGCAAATTTAAAATATAATATGTTTGTTTCAGGGTCACAACCTCCAGCAATCGGTGGCCCTGAGGGACAAGCAGCCCTAGCCTGGCTTGGTGAAGGAGCATCTGGTAGTTCTCAGGTACCTGCAATAGGTGGTCCCGAACAACGACCTGCTTTACCTTGGTATAGAGAAGGAGAAAGAGGAGGTTTGTGTTAGATTTGCTGTGATACATCCAACTTACGAACCGTTCAATGTCTTGGGTCCCCTGAAGTACCAGTACACGCCGCAAGTATTTCTAGTTTGCCTGGCTCAACAATTTTTGCATATGTCATTCCTAACCCCCACCTGACTATGTCATCCGAAAATTGCATAACTTCGAAGTCCCAGTGACGTAATACGGCCCTCCAAATTATACGGAAAATCGGCAGACAATCATCCGAAATCGAGCAAGCTATTTTTCTCGTCGAAACAATACCGATAAGAGAGAAATCGCTGACGTTAGTGAATTCATTATAGTCGGCACAGATGCCACTTCGACCGATCGTAGTTAAACATTAGCAAGCTCTAGGACGCGATCGTGACGTCGAAGTGATGTAATTTTTGGGTGACGTACCCAGGTGGGGGTTAGGAATATTATACTAATAACATCGTTATGCTACGCCTACTAGAAGTACTTGGGGCTGAGGGCGAATACTCCAGGTGTGGCTCAACGGGCTAAGTGTTAGGAATACGCTCGCCACCGCACCTCTAGTTACTCTGCGTGGGTTCGCAGGTTCGAATCCCATGCAGGGATGGTTATGTGCGAGAGGATTGCTGGACGCCGTCGTTGGGTGGTTTACGTAACCGCTGGTCGGTTACGGCTTCCTCCACCACCAAGTCCATGCTTCCGAAAACAAACAATATAACTAATCCAATACCCGACTTGGAATGGTAAGGGGACGAGAGGCCGTGGTTCGCCATATGAATAAGCCGTCTTATCGGCTTTCCTCTCCCCCAAGATAAATATGTAAATCCTATCTAATACCCAAGGTTTATTACAATCCCGAAATTTCTGATTTTTGGACGAAACTTTGAAAGGCTTAGACTTCACTATATCAGCATCGCTGATTACAGATCTCAAGTTCAAATCTCATGGTCCTACCTCACCCAAGATGTAATAATTTGGCAATGCCCGTCTCGAAAGTTTTGTGGCCTACAAGTATTTCAGTTTTCACATTTTGTTGGATATCAATTACTGCTTGCACACAGCGTTATTCAGAGCGCAATGCGTGAATTAGCGTCATGTAAAACATAGGCTGAAAATATGTGGCTACGAGGCCCCCACCTCCACAAAGCTGGGATGGTTGTGGAATGTTATGAGCTCAAAAGATTCTCAACCTTTCACATCTAAGCTTTCTTCTTATCAATGGCCTCTTATCAGCCTTATTTGAAGGCGAGAAATATCTCATAATAATAAAATATGAACCGAAATCGGGGTCGAGAATTTGACTTTCATTCATTGATATTGGAGTCGGAAACTGGATTCGTGTTTTAAAACTTCCAAGTGTTGAAAATAAAGAGAGAATTTTTATCGAAATCTCAGATCAATAATTATGATCAAAGAAAATGTTTTCGACAGAAACTTTTAAATTATTTCACTAAGTTTTTAAAACCGAAAATTGAAAACAAAGTAACGTACTCAAAATCTGTTCTTTTGGTTTAAGCCGAAGTAATTTTATCACCCAGAGTCATTTTTGAAATAGTTTGTAACTTTGAAAGTAAGCTGGCAGTTAGTATGAAATTGACAGCCCATTTCTAATATGTTTTGTAAATTTTTTCAATGCTTTTTTTTTTTGTCATAGCGCTCCATCCTGGTAGTAACCGACAGCCAGTATATAATTGACGACCCATTTCTATTGCGTTTTGTCCAATTTTTTTATTGGTACTATTTTGTCATAGCGCTCCATCCTGGTGGCAATCAACCTCTTGCATTGCCCGCACCAGAAGCGCAGATATCTTCATCAGGGAATGAACAGCTTGAAGAGATCGAGGCGACAGTGCCGACCAACGAACCAGAAATATTGGATCCAATAAAGCCGAAGAAAAAATCAAAGAAAAGGCCAAACAGAGCAGGTGAAAATAGCATTGTTATGCCATAAATACCCTGAAGATTTTATTGCCAAGTGGTGGTTCAAGTATTTTTAAAGAGAGCAAAATTCCGATTAAAAAAATATTATTTCCGAGAATATATTTTAGGCCGCCTCCCAAAGGCCTACAAAGCATCTCACAGAACCTTTCAGGTGAAACTGAATAATCGTCAAATTAATACACAATATAATTCTTTTTGATAGTTAATTTGGATATGATGCAGATGATCGTGTGATTTTTGTTATTTTACTACTTTTTTTATTATATTCAGGTTCCAATCGAGATCCAGAGCCTGTTCCTACTTCACGTTCATCTGTGGAAAGACGTTTCATTGACGAAGAGACATTGAATGCTAATGTAACGACACCTAAAGTAGTTGGTAAGTGCCAATATTCGACGTAGAAATATTCCCCAAAATTACCAATCAGTCCCAAAATTCAGCCTATTCATCCTTCATCTCACATCAGGGGTCGGCAACCTACATCCCACGGGCCGGATCCGGCCCGGAGTACTACAATCTGGCGCGCGGCGCTTCTCAGAATTATAGTAACAAAACAGCTGTTTTGACGATTATACTCTTTATGTAACAAAATTTATTGTGAGACTAAATTATATTATAATCTAACAAGTATAAATTCAAAAATCAAAATTAGATCCTTTTTATCATAAGAATCAAATAATCAAAATGGCAGACATTTATAAAATCCAGGTACTGAAACTCATGCGCCAACATATTAATAATAAACTGCCTGCTTTTAAACACTATTTTGTCAAACAAATGAGTGTTCACTCTTATTCAACTCGTTCCACTGCCAATAGCTCTTACTATGTGCCTTGCTTTTCCACCAATCGTTCACAAAGCTCTATTAAATTCATCGGTGTGAAACTTTGGAATACGCTCCCAGACACACTTTGCTCTAAAATTTATAATTCATTCAAAAAAGCACTTAAATGTCTTCACTTGGATTCTTATATCTGTCAGTAGTCTGGCAGAGTTGGAATGTATCTCAGCCTGTTTGAAACTCACTTTGTCAAATAATGTGTGTTATCTTTATTTGTCCATATTCTCATAATATGCTAGCACCTTCTTCGTATTATTATTATTTGCTCCTCAATGCTGTGATATACTCCAATATTATGTGCTTTCCACAGAGCAAATTAACTCAAGTATGACTTTTTTCTCACTGGAGTAACACTGGAGTATCTTACCTTTATTTACTCAAGATTCCTTAATAGGTCAGGTATTATTCCCCTTATTGATTTCCATTACTGTTATATTATTTTTTATAGCGTGTGCTCCTTACAAGAGTCATTTCACAAAATAACTGTAATATGAACTCTCTCGACAAAGACAAAATTCAATAATATTCTGTTATTTTTTTATAGTCATATTTCCCGTAACAGGCCTTTTCCAACAAAGTCAAAATTCAACAATTTTTGTTACATTTATTAATAGTCATTGTTTCCTCAACATGTCTTTCCACCTTTGTAGTTCAATTCATATGTTATATTAGTAGTTCCACTGCTGCTGCAGGGAATTCCCCTAGTAGTCAACATCGTTATGCTACGTCACGTACGTCAGCATTTTCCTTGTTGTGGACGTGCTCGCTGGAGCATGACGTTGAGTTGATCTAGTTAGTCAATACTTTATTTACTGAATCTTCCGTTCTCACGTACTTTTTAGTTCCCAAATTGTTTTAATTATTTTTGCTGATTTACTTCTGTATTGTTTGACTCAAGCTGCTTCTATAATGGTGTCGCTGACATGATGACTTTTGATAGCCTTTTCGCGGCCCCTCGTCAATTGCAGATCAAATATTGTACTTTTTTCTTTCAATGAATTTATTTAATTTTTACCATTTGTTTAAATGTACAATGTTTTTGCACGACGAAAAATAAATAGCTGAATCTGAATTCACAATTACCTAATAAGCCTATAATTTAAATTTAAATTAGACAAATGGCAACAAAACGCATAACTAAGTGCAAAGGGTTCAATGGCGCCGAAAATATTCAAAGAGAACTTTTTGAGATGCAATGAGGAAATAAATCTATATTCTATTCGAGAGATGTATCACTGCTTGATTTTAATATAAGAAGTATCATCTGTTCGGTTTTTAACTTTCTAAAAATATGTGCTGCCCGCCAATGACTTGCAACCTTAACTTTGGCCCGCGAGCGACAAAAGGTTGCCGACCCCTGCTTTACATCATATGAAAAATATTCCCATGACTTAGCATAAAACAGCAACATTTTTGATGAAGATTCTGCCTCTCAGAATTCATAAAAATTTGAATGAAAATATTGCCGCCTAGCGGTTTCCACCATCTTCAAGTTTTGAAAATTTGGAATTGATTGATCCAGTAGTCGAAACAACCAACGTGTCCACTTTGTTTGTATTCGATAAAGCCTCAAAAATAGGGAATTCATAACACTCAAATAAATGTTATTGGCGAAGTCAGATGGTCATAAAATTATTTTTTTACACTTTTTGACTTTTGCGAATCATGATATAAATATATATATAGATATTGATGAAAATGACTCCATTAGTGGTGACGTCATTAAATTTTAAATCCTTCTGCTTGAACCCAAAATTTGAAATTTTGTTCTGGTGGGGTTAGTCGCTGCGCAAACACTACTCCTCACTTTGTTTTGCTTCAAATTTAAATGCTTGATTTACATTCAGGAAGCCCCACTGCTTCAAATCCAGAAATATCAGGAGCATTTCCACTAATTCCACCTGAACCTTCGAATAGACGAGATGCAAACGAAACATCTGGAGCAAGCCCCAAAACAACAGGTATAAATATCTAACTCAAATATATTTGGTTTGTCGGGTATTTCACTAGTCCTTATGCTCTATCACAACGATGGCCAACACGTATATCGCCACTTCGTGGGTAGTCGTTCTCGTCTGGTTGCGAAAATTTGATAATATACCTAGAAAAACTGCCTTGAACCAGTTTCATGCAGCGCGTGTTGTGTGTTTTTAAACAGGAATAATACAGTACTGCGCACGCTAAATACGATATATACCAGGGGTGGCCAACCTTTCACATACCATGCGCCACGTTTTAAACATAATGTTTCAGATGCGCCGTAAATCTAACGCCTAATGTCCGCTTCTTGCCATGTTTCAAGTAAAAACTACAGCCTTCCTGAAAGTAGGAGAAAAACGCATTCTGTCTTATGAGCATTACGCAATAAAGCTGTTTTTAACAACGAAGAGAAAAAGGTACGATTAAGAAGTAAAGTTAGGCGTAATATTGTGACAACAGGCCTTTAGTATCAATATCTACTCTACTCTACCCTCGATTCTAATTGGCCTTTGCTAATCAGCTGTTTGGCCTAGCGTCGCGGGATTTTACTCCAGGCTTCTTCGAGATTAGTACTTGCGTCACAGCAAGCAATTTTACGCTTCGCTTTTGTTGACAACGGTCATTTGAAGTTTGGATGAAAAAGGTGGTATTTAGGGGTCAATTTCAGCATGTTGTGGGTTGATTTATAATAAACTTTTTAGGCTTGGGCAATTCAACTGGTTGTTCAGTGGTTATTGGGAGATATTTGGGAAGTCTGGGCAATGGAAAATCCATGTTTCAAGCTGATAAATGACGATTTTCTATTTTTCCAGAAGTTCTGAACTTTTTACTTCAGTAGGGAAAAAATAGTAAATTTTACTAATTTTTGCTAAAAGTCTAGAATGAATGTCATAAAGTCCGTCCGAAAGCTAACGTCGATAATCGCTTGTTGTTTCTAATTCCAACAAGCCGTAAGTGGGCGACGTGGAGTGAGGAGAATAGATTATAGGTACAATCAAAAGTCACCATGCGAATCGCAAAAAAACGGCTTGGCGTGGAGAAGCCAAGTGCAATTAACAATTTTGGCATGGAAAGGGTTAAAGATGCAATGCGCCACCTCTAATCATGCAATGCGCCACGTTTGGCGCATGCGCCATAGGTTGGCCACCCCTGATATATACACACTGTATACCGTAAAACCGGCTAACTTCGGATGCCTTGTAACTTCGGATGAAATTTTCAATCATTCATATCTCAACTGAATTTCGTCGTATTGCGCTTCTGTCGGTTTCTATAGTAAGGCCTTACATATCTGAATCTGCCGTAGCCTCCAATCGCTCGATTTGATTTTTTATCATTCAAAAAATCATATTTTACCAAAAAAATGACACCGTTTTTTCGAGCGGCTCAAATCGTGACTTCTACAGACGCTACCTTCGTCAAATCACCGCCAAGCGCTAGAGAGCGTACACAATGTATACAAAAAAATACAGTGATCACAAGGTGTCGTACGAGATTCGAGTGAAATCGATTATTTTGATTTAAAAATTACATCAAAATATCGACGTTTTGATGATTACGTACAGCGTGACGTCAACGACGCAAATCCCGTTCTCTCTCTTCGTAGCCGACGTCACTTTGCGTAGCTCGTGCGTTACTCGCTGCGACATTTGAACGCCAGACATCGCGGCGCCCAGTTTTGTGAAATTTAAATATTATGCTTATCCATGATCCTAGTCACTAAATCCTACAAAAACATCACTATCGTCTCAGTCATATGTTGTTTATTTAAAAATATGGGTATGCATACGCTTAATGCATATGAAATTTGTCGATTTTTGTTTTTGCATACTTCCTCCGACACCGATAGATACCGTAGCAATTGGTAATACGTTAGGCCTGAAACATGTATCTATACGATCATAATGATTAGATATGTCTGTTTACGATCGGCAGATGATAATAATATCTTTAACAGGTGAGCGTAGAACTCTACATACATGCACACAGCAGGAGGTTGGACCACATACAGGTGAGGCGCAAAATGAAAAAAAGTGGCAAAGTTTCTTTTTGCCGTTTTTATCCGTTTATTGTCATTTGACTTTATTAAGTGAAACGAAAGCGAGGATCGAAAGTCACACCGGGCAGGAACCTCTGCCGAGCCGATCAACGGGGAGCTCTGAGAAAATCAGAAAATATGAAAAGTGATAATCAAGACGAAACCTGCTCTGCTTGTGGATTATGGAAATTGTAAATTAGAAAGTTCGAGCCGTCATAGTTTGGGAATATTTTTTTTTCACCTGCAATGTTTTTTAAGGGGTTTTTATCACTTACAACTAAAAATTAAGCAGGTCTTAAGTTTGAATTGTATGATTTGAATAAATCTCAAGCAGTTACGCCGGGTACAATTACATATTAAATTTAACAAATTAGATGAGACGTAGAAAAATATGGCGATTTCATTGAGAATGCGCCCGAAGAATTGAGCTTGGCAGTGGCGGGATTTCTTGTATGTGTGTGTGTGCAATTATCGGATTATTCAAATTAATTTGTTGTGTAAGATCTCATTACCGATCAGTCGATCACGAGCTATTTTTAAGATTTTAGTCGATCGCAGTCGCAAGTAAGTTGGCCTCCCTGCAGTCCATCACAGAACTTGGCTTTGTGCAGGCATATTTTCACAGGTAGAACAACATTAATTGAATGTTAATTAATTTTAACATGTTACAGTAGTTTCGGCATCAATTTCGGCATTCCAAACCCAATCGATACCGGGCAGGAAATTTGAACCTGTCTTTTTAAAATATCTCTGAACAACGAAATTCATACTATTGCATTTTCAAACTACTTTTAAATATTGAAGCACAATGCGTCGTTCATGTTTATTCATACAGTTTCGCACAACACTACTCACCATGCCGTGGCTTTTTCATTTATATTTTGTTATAGGTTCGTTGCGCCCAAGTTTATCGTAAATAAAATGGTGCATCTTGTGGCGGTTTGTTATTCAGTCATTTTTATTCGATTGTTTATCCCTGAGTATTTGCTGATTTTTCATAGTATCATTCAGTATATCCACTTCTCCAATTCACTTCTACAATATCTCTATCTATTTTATCAACCTAGGTTCGACAAGATATATCTATGTAGTGATCTCAATGAAAATGATTCCATTAGTCTTGATGTATGTGATTTCTAAAACCCTTCTGCTTGGGCCCAAAATATAAAAAAAATAGCTGGAGGAAGGTTTGTCAAGGTTTGAACAGTGAACCTCGCTTTATTCTGCTTCAAATTCAAATGCTTGATTTACATTCAGGAATCCCCACTGCATCAAATCCAGAAATATCAGAAGCATTCCCACTAATTCCACCTGAACCTTCAAATAGACGAAATGAAAACGTAGCACCTGGAGCAAGATCCAAAACAACAGGTAAAAATAGGCACCGGTATCCGATGTCGTATAGCAGTGGTTCCCAACCACCGTGCCGCGGCATACTAATGTGCCGCGGAATGATCATTGGTGTGCCTCGAAGAGATTTCATTTTAGAATTCATTTCAAGTGATTCCGATTTCCAATGACAGTTGAAAGTTAGCATGTCAATTTACAGACGGCATTTTAATTTGAAACCTTGAAAGATAATGAGAGTAAACTAAGTGTGTGTGTGTGCGATGCTGTAGTGAATGGGTGTTCAGCACTTGTGGAGTGTTTGTGCGCGCGCAGGACTATCGACATCGAACTCTTCGGCGGGCACTTTCCATAATATTTGTGGGTCGAACTTGGATTGCCAGCTAAAAAAAGGCGTCGTTTATTGTTACGTAACAATGACCTTTCGATACCACTCTCTTGAGTATTAGCTTGTCATTTTACTACTCATATATCCAGTACACAGGCCGCTTTACTGGACACGGAACTCACACGTCACTAAACCGATCCCTTGAATTCCGCGAGAATTACCCAACGGTTCTTGCTAACAAAGAGAAACGAAAACTTTTAGAAGTCAAATTTGGTTATTGTTTCAATCGTTAGTTTTGTATAAAGCGCATTAGAAATGTCAAAAAATGTAACAAATTATTTTGCAAAATTTTTTCCAAATTTTACCAAGGAATTATTTTTTGACTAGTAGAATTGCCATTATTTCTGATTTATTGAACTCAAAATAACATTCGGCATTCACGCAATGACTTTGAAGGGTTTTTATTCTGTACTTATTACAAAAATAAAACAGCCACAATAGAAAAGTAAAATCATAAGAAGGTCAACTATTGTCTTCATAAATATCCGCATTCCGCCATCAGAAATGATAATATTGTCAGCTTAAAATTGGGACAGTTATTAATTTCAAACGGGGATGAGGCGATGTGTTGTGGCGATGTATTGTTCATGTGCATTAGCCCAGTCTTGGACAACCCTACCCACTATGCCATTGCATTTCATTTCTCATTCAAATTTCGTTGCATCTCACTAAATTTCAAACAAAAATGCGCCACCGTGTGGCTAATTGTTGTTTACGTCCATTAACACAGTTTGGGTCAACGCTACCCACTGTGCCATTGCATTCAGTTTCGTTGCACTTATGTAAATTTTCAATGAAATTGCCCATCATTTGGCAATTTGTAATTCGCTTCTGTATATCTGTGCATATATTCTATTGTTTATCTCTGGTTATTTGCGGACTTGTCGTATAATATATTATATTCATTGTATTCCCAGCTTCAGTTTGTTCTGTTGTTTAGTTCTTGTGTTGGGTTCATTAAACCTAAATAATTCGTCAATACCATTCGTATTTCAAAGCACCGAAGAAAAAGTTTGATATTTTCCTTTGTCAACTTCACAATATGCTCAAAAACTTTTTATCCTTTAACAGCCTACGATGTAATATGTCCTAAATTACTAAATTAGGTTTTAAACCTTCTGTGTCCACGGCTTCCATTTCCCAGTAAAAATTCATTCCCCATGTTTTTTTACTTTTGTATAATACTTTATTTACTCAAGAAAAAAATTAACTTTAATATGACTCTGCGTCTCCTTAATTGAGATCGTGGAAACTTGCAACAATGGTGCCCCGAGCAGTATTTTCCTCGTCAATATACCGGTTCGGCGATGTCTGTGCTATTTCACAAATTCTTTCAAAAGTCAACGAACAGCTTTTTGACCTAATTTTCCAATTAATAATGACAGATCAACAGAGTCGCCCAACAGCTGGACAGATTGCAACAAGAGATTCTCCTCTGCATCCAGAACGGACTGAAACGGTGGATTCCAGGGACAGTCAATCAGGTATTTAAATTATAAAATAGAATATTGGCAGAAAACTCGAGTTTCAAAAATGTTGCTTGCGTAATCGTCGAAGTGATTCGGTCACAAAATAAATTCTTCAGGCCCTGTATATAACGTATTCACTTACCTAAATTCTTTTAAGGAATTCTCCGTACCAGTATTGCAAATGAAACAAATTTATTTATATTTCCAGATCGACCATCGGTGCGATTTTCATCTCAACATGAAGTAGAGGAGAGAAGTTTTGTTGGTGAAGATACTGATGTAACAATTCCTAAAGCTATTGGTGAGTTATAAATCTTCCATTCGTGGACAGGTGTTATTGCAGTTGTAAGTGATTTCTGTAGTTCTGCCTTGACTGATAAGAAAAATTGCTGTGACCAGAACTGCCATGACAAGCGCTAAACGAGAATATTGGGGAGAGACCGAAGACTTATCGATCGAAAGTTAGGGGATCCCCCAGAACAGCGCTCTTATTCCATAGTGACACCTTGTGTCCCATCACTAATCTATTAATACTTCGCTAATTATACGATATAATTCATTCAAAATCGATAAGCTTCTGGTCCGACATATGATGAATGCACATGCAAAATCTGGAGCAGATTCAGCATCGCTTTTGCGAGATATTGCGTGCATCTAACAGACAGACATACAGACTGACAAATACCTACACAACATACAACATAAGTAATAAACCGATCGCTCAAATATCTTTACAAAATTCACAATAGAAAAATTTTCATGTTTCACTTTTCAAGTTTAAGCTCATCCATTGATATTCAATATTCAGGGAGTCCTACATCACCAAGTCCAATATACGACCGAGATTTGCAACAAGCAATTCCGTCTCCTGGAAGAACGGAGCATCAACATAGGCGCGATGTGAATATACAATCAGGAACAAGACCTAAAACTACAGGTTATAGTTCATGTATAAATTTTCGATTCTTCATTCTGAAGAAGGCTCCAGACAAGCAGCTACAGCAATACTCATGCATACATCAATATTTCAGCTCTGGTATTCTCCTTAAGACTCTGAACTTCCAACTCCCAGTAAAAAAATTACCATTGAAAGTCTGACAACCCGACTGACATTACGATTATGGCTACCAGTCTCCCTCTCGAGAAATTACCCCCCCTCCCCTCTCTTCCATTGCTGAAAATACAATAACTAAAGGAAATAGGTCAGTGTATCATAGATAAATCATTTTTTTAATCATTTGATTTATTAGATGTTTTGGTAGGAGATTTTAAATATGAAGAGATCTATGCCTTATCAGTTACCTTCCTAGTCTTATAAATGCAAAGCTGATTACAGTTTGACAACTCTTCATGTTGTTCACTCAATATTATTTCAATTGCAAGGATTTATAAATAGTATGACTAAGATATTAGCACACTCATTTCTATTAACCAAATACCACAACTGAAATGGACTCCAACGTCAGTCGTAATATCATTCATTGAGGTTTTACAATTAGTACTTCGTTCACAGGTGCCGATATGAGAATCAGATTTTTGCCGGAACAAGATGAAACAAGTGAAAATGAAGATGTGTCTTCTGAAGGTGAGTTGAGGCATTGACTATAATTCCTTTGTTGCAATATTCTGAATCTGGTTGAATTGTTCGCCGAACAGTTAATAAAAACGAACTTTCTAACATGTTACAACAAAATCAGGAAATATTAGGTGTTGGTTCACATGGGTTATGCTGTCATCCTAGCAATGTGCATTTTACCAAAAATCCAGGTTATTGTTTTGTTACCATGGCAGCAGCGAAAAGCATCGGTAGAGATTCATACTCAGCTCCTATCGGCTTGTTTGATCTCGTACTTACCATTTGCCAGGATTTATTTCGCTATTGAATCAATATATTTTTTTCTTTAATGTTGCGTATTCTGTATTATAGAAATCGACAGTGAAAATGAAATATCCGACATTATCAAAGATTTTATCAAATTTAAAAAATACTTTTCTGAAGAAAAATCGCTGTTAACAAGAAAATTAAGAAGAAGAAAGTCTAGAGGTATGTTTTACAAGTGGGTGTGCAGTTTGCAATAATTGTTTCTTGAAGTCGACAATAGCAAATGAATAAATTTAGGTGGACACTTGGTACTCCCGTAGTATGTGTACCAGGTTAAGGTTAGACCATAATTGTATTCCAATTTTTCTTATTTAGGTTTCATTACAAGTACGTGAACTGTCTGTGTTAGTTAAGGGAATATATACCTGCCCATAGGTTTCAGTCTCTTTACACAACTTGATGTAAATTAGGCGAACAAAATTAGTTATCTCTATGTTGGTACACATACTTCAGGAGCCCCGAACAGTTATCATTGAACAAATATTCTGGCCATTAGTTTTCTTTTACAATGCAGTTGGGATGGTTTGAATCACCAAGTTAACTCGATGCAGAGTTGAAATTTGGCAGAAAGTACAATCCACTCATGAGTCTTTCTTTCATTATTTGTCTTTTCTGTTTTGAAAGCTTCAAATTTAAACATCGGCCGCCGACTCGCAGTTATGCTCATCTTTCTATTTTAATATTTTGATTTTTCTATTTTATTGCAGATCAAAGAAGTACGACCGCCCATCAAGCGCCAACTCCATCGAAATCTCGACCAACGCGTTCTCGTCATCAGAGAAATGAAAGACAGTTTTCATCAACAAATCGTGTGAGATCCAAGAGTACAGGTGGGTTTCAATTGTTACTGCGGTGCAATATTATGTATTCTGGAAATCCTGGATTCTTACTACTATGCAAATTTTAGATATGATGTTTGTTAATAGTTCCTGCCATTGTATGCATGTATATCAGACATATGTACAAATAATGCTGAAATACTCCTGAGTCTGTATCGGTGATAGTCTATGTCAGGGTTACTCGACTGGCGGACCTTTCGAGTATTCGATTCGGACCGCACCTAATTTTTTATTTCGGATCATTAGCCCCACTTTTGAAGTTCTCTGTTATGAAGTGACTTATAGTTTTGAATATATATGAAATGAACTATATCACCATAATAAACAATCTTGATTATATAATAATCATAAACAGGTCAGAGAAGTGCACATTTAGGGTTGCTGAAATATAATTTCTGGAAAGACCGGACCCAAATAATTGTGGAGTTTTGTATTCGGATCTTCGGTAAAAATAGTTGAATAGCCCTGTGATATATACCAACACACAATAGAATGATGCTTATGATGTAATAATTAGCCTTTTATCTTTATATGAGGTATCTCTGATTTCAGATGCCAGATATTATTCAAGCTTGGATGAAACAACCGAAAATGGCGATAGTGAAGAATCCTTCCATTTTGCTGATCCTACAAAAAGTGAGCCTAATAACCGATTATAAATTGTGAAACTTTAATTTGTTCCAAATTGGTCAAACCTTCAGTTTGCTCATTGGACATGTTTGGTCCAATTGGTGATAAAGCGACAAACACATTCCCATGACTGGAAATTCCCATAAATTTTATCAGAATAAGTTCTTAAAACTTGAAACTTCTTAAAACTTGGCCCAAAAGAGTTTTAGTCGTGATACTTAGTTAGCAGAAAGTCACCATCCATTTAACCACCAATCCAATTAAAACATTAAACCAGAAGTAGCTGTTTATAATGGCCTGGGCTGCTCAAAGTCTCGATTCAATCAGAATTACTTCACGGTTGGAATAGCTATTGGCACTTAAGTTGCCTTCGTAACTAAGAGCATTCTTTGATTCTGAATGATATTGCTTTTAAGAAAATTTTATTGTTCTTTATTTGAGTAGCTTTTTCAACTCTTCGATAACAATTATACTCGTCTTTTAACGGTATGGCGCATCGTGACGGCGTTGGTTCGCAGGTTTGAATCCTATGCGGGAAGGTTATTTGTAAGACGATTTCTGGACTCCTTGCCGCCGTAGGGTGGTTCACGCAACCGCTGGTCGGTTACGGCCTCCTCCACCATTAAGTCCATGCTCCCAAAAACAACTAACTGGCTAACTAATTCCACAACCGATATGGACTGGTAACCGGACGAGAGACCGTTGTTCACCATATGATTAATTCGTCTTATCGGCTTTCTTCTCTCCCAGGATAAATGTGTAAATCTTATCCTATGGTAATAATTCCATACTTGACAAACTGTAAAACTTTACGACTGAACCAATATATATTTTTATAACAACAGAAAGCGACGGGGCAAGTGAACAATCAACAATCATCAAAAGTTTCTTGGAATATCTAAAATACAAAGCTAATCCAAAATCAAAGTTCACACTAAAAGTAGAAAAAAGTCGTTTCGAAGGTGAGGTGAAAAACCTGTCTTTGTATTTTTCCTTAATTTCTTATTCCTCATTATTTCTACCTTGCCAGTTTTATGGACGGTTTTCAGTGCGTACAAGGCGCTGATTTTTGCATTTTAAACATTTGTTGATAAAAATATTCTTTTGACCCAATGGTTACAGCGTTAGACTCGCCTATAATGGCATTGCAGGAAGCATCCTTGCTTCATGCCCTAGCCCACACTTTACCTGGGGTGCAATACATTTGAAAGTAAATGCCGAACCGAAGATTTTGTTCTTCTATCAAAAACCCCGCTATTGAAGTGGTCTCTTAGAGGTTATCACGCAAATATTTTTGTGGCAAATTTGATTTTATATAATATTTAACATCTTTAGCGTTTTCCGCTTGCATAAAGTGGACTTCAAGTCGTGAAACGCATTATTCAACAATCTCGAATATGCACAGGACGATACTAAGTCCCACCTTGCAATGAAAACGTCTGGTCATACTTTGTTTTCGAAATATAAAAATATCGTTAACTTTTAATCTACCAATGTTTTTAGACGAATCTTCAACTGACAATCCATTGACTAAATCGCAAGAGTGTCAAGTCAGCCTCGTTCAAGAAAAAGAGAAGATGAATCCAACAGGTCAGATACAACCAGCCAATGCAGAAATAGCTAAAGACAAACGCGATATGGAAGACAAACTTTTACAAACAGATAACTGCGATACAGAATATGAGACTTCGGTCTTTAAAATGACAGAATTGTATAACAAAGAACAGGAAATACAAGTCTCGCGCAAACTTAAATCGATTATTCCTCTTATTGAAGTCGTTTGGAGAAATATTCTTTGTCAAACAACAATCAAGGGTTGCGAGCGCCTTCACGAGGATGCCGGTAGACTATGCTCGAATATCATAAATTGGATTTTCAAAGACGCAAACGATGAAAAGACAATGAAACTGTATATTTCAAAAATAAAAGACGTTATGAAACTAGGCGAAGAATTCATTTCCAGCGGTAAATACATTCATGCTATAGTCGCGTTCTATGCAGCTGCTAAACTTCATCGACAAAGCGGAAAAGGCAACGAATCAGTGAAAGGTACATGGACTTGCTTCGATAGAGCAGGGTTTGTTGCCGAAAAAATGCAAAAGTCTGTGCAAACTGCAAATGTTGCCAAGAATCACATGATTCCACTCATGCAGGAAATGACTGACTTTCTGATGCCTATTCACAGTCCAAGTCAATTTGCAGAAGAACTGGAAACTAAATCAAAAGAATTTGTCGAAGAGAAGAAATTCATTTCAGCCACAGTCGCATTATATATCGCAGCCAAACTGCACAAAGAGACAAATGAAGGCGATGACTCAGCTCATGGTGTTCTGTCATGCATAGAACAAATAAGCTTAGTCATGGAAGAAATGATAAAGCAGAAACAAACAAAAACCTTAGGTCACGTGATATCACTCATTACTGAAATGACTGATTTCATTGGAATGATTGAAATATCAAACTACAGTCAGTTTACCAATGAGATGAAAAGCAAAGCCAAAGAATTCGATTCAGAAGAAAAGTTTATTCAATCTGTAGTTTCATTCTACGTCGCTGCTAAACTGCATGGATTTAATAATAAAGGAGATCAATCGGTGAGAGGAATTAAACAATCTGTTTACCAAATATCACTCGTTGTTGAAAAGATGACAAAACAACATTCAATGAAAAAGATTGTCATAGATCACGTGATACCACTCATGCGTGAATTGTTAGAGATTGTACAAACGATAAAAGATTCGACTCAAAAAGTCAGAGTAGATATGGAGGCTTGGTGTTTATATAACATCGGTGTTTGCTACTATTACTGCGATGAATATCAAGAAGATGCGAACATAAACCATTCCGCAATTATACTTATAGACAAGGAACTTGAAGAACCTCAAAGATATCGAATATATGGATATTGTCTTGGTTTTGCAGGAATAGCGTATGGTAGAATGGGAAATATAGAGAAAGCGATTGAATTGTATAAAATGTCGTTGGAAGCGAAGATGAATGCTGAAGATTATCCAAGTGATAAAGATAAGAATGAATCTATTGAAACTACAAGAAATAATTTGAGAAGAGCTAAATCCAAGTTGCCCAAATAGGTTTATCGGTCGGTTTAGTGAAATTAAGATCGATCTAGTGTGGACCAAAGATGAATCACACTATGTTGGAATCGCAAAGAACTCGAATCCCATCGCCTCACCCAGTGTGTCAATAATTTTGAGACAGAAAGATGTCCGTCTATATAATAATAGTAGTAGCTTTTTTTGTATCAATGGTTGCTCGTACAAAGCCTTGCTAGGAACGAAAATGTAAAAGTCTGATAAAAAGAATATCTATGGTCCATACTTGATTTTGTATTTAGTGATAAAGTATTCGATTAAATTTTCAAAGTCTGCTTGAAATAAATTTAAGAGTTTAAAGAGCAAAGCTCTAACACAATACTTCCCACATATGAGAAGTCTTCGCCAAACAAGCCTATGTGGAAGCACTCACTGATTTGTGATATTTCATTCAACTTGCTATTAAACCGAAGGTAATTGATTAGGTAATTGATTCTCCTTGGAATATTCATGTTATTATCAATATATATTTTAATGCAGCAATCAGATTCTTGTGCTAGGATAAAACTTTTAAAATGAATAGATTTTTTCGTGATGTCATTAAAAATTCCAAAAAATCATTTAACAAGAAATATAAGTGATTTTTACGATTTTGTTTTACAGTAAACTTTGTTTAACCATTATTTATCAATTCATATGAAATTCTAGTTTACATTACAATCAGGGATGGCCAATACCGAATAGTTCACTATTTCGAATACATTCGAAATTATTATTTTCGAATATGAAATTTCGAATACTTCGAAAATAAAATCCACTAATTGAAGCTTATCTAAATGTATGTAAATAAGTATAAGTATAAGTTTATTTCGACTCCATAATCAGCAAAACAATAAAATGAATGCTAAAAATAAATAAATAAAAACTGATTATGAAATCAGGAGAGCGAACAAAACCTTAGATAAGGTTTAAAACGTACAGAATGTATATAAGATGGAAGGTTTTGCCAAGAAGATGTGGTACGTGTTCACTCACCTAAAATAATTGAAATATTTCACACACGCTCACACGCACCCACACACACAACCATATAGAAGTTATTAAGTAAAGGGAACATGAAAAATTACATACTGGTAGTTAATAAAAAATAAATAAATAAAAATTACTTGCCACACCATATTAATAAATTTATCATGATTGCCACTGCCAAATTGATCAATTTTATAAATGGGAGTGAACAGTAAAGATAAACTTTTATAAAAAATATATTGTCAAGCTGATTATAGATGGAGTCAAATGCCAAAATGCCCAACCAAAGTTGCCAGAATTGGGTGCATGAAGAGGTGGGCTAGACCACTTCATTGCCCAAACTAGAGCCTATTATTGCCAAATTGTAGTCCAGATTGCAATAAGTATTTAAATCTATCAGTAACTTTATAAGTATGAGTAATTATAATTAATTAAGGTAGAAAGACAGGGTATAGGAGTATGTTGGTTGCTAAGGTTATAAGGTTTTTTTTTTTTTTCATTCTTAGATATTGACTTCTGCAAGGATAAAGGAATTAGTATTGTTATTTCACAGGATCATTTCTTCATTTAATTATTGTGGCGTAATAGATTCAAGTTTATCGTGGATGAGACATCAGCCTGCGAATTTTGTTGTTGTAGACACCATTTATATTCAATAAACTAGCCATTGTATTGATCATCACAGAACGACCTGAAAAACAGAAAATAAATCTGCGAGTAGGATATTCAAGGGTTACATATTTGGAAAAAGCACTACCCTACACTTTTGTTTAGAATTAATTATTATTTCGAGTAGTTAATGATTATTAGTTATCTATCTATAAAACGCTAGTTCAAAGACCAGAGTTGAAATATGGTTGGGACACAGGGTGAATTCCTCGCAAACCATGCAGAAACTCTCAAACCACACTGACCATTCGTATGTTGGCCTTCACATCAACTTCACAGCAGAACCTCAACCTAGGATAAAATTTTGTATACACACAAAACAAATCATAGAATACCACAACAAATTAAAATGAAGGGGAGAATCCAATATATCTCCACTGGTCGCCTAATTACAATAATAGGTACAGGAGCTAAACTATACGGTCTACAACCCTCATAAGGTATCACACCACCCATATAGAAACAAAGACCATGCATGTGTAATGTCAAAAATCCAACGTTAAGCAAAAAGGGAACATGCGCATGCAGATGTCAGAGTGTAAACAGCCATTTGAAAAATAAATAAATAAAACAATTTACTGTGCATGCTACAGAACCCGACACACCAACAATAGATGTAGAACAGGTGGAGAGAGATTAACTGCCGGCTCAACAACAATCAGCAGCTGCAGGAGCAATAGCAATATTGTAGCTGTTTAATATTTTCATGAAAATAAGTATGTGCAAGTGAAGAGTGTCCCAACTTTCTATCATGGTCATTCATGAAGGTTCAATATTTTTTGTGTCCGAGCTATCAAAACGTTGTAGCTAATTTCATACGAAAGAGTATATATATCAGTGTGGTTATGGGAAAATAACTTTCAATATTTGGATACCAAGTACGACTTAACTTGTTTCTGAAATGATTTTTTGGATTTTAATGACTTCAAATTCAAGGGGAGAGAGTTCCATAGCTTAGGTCCATTATAGCATAGGGCATGCTGACTCACAGATTTACTCATAAACGGTATAAATAAATTGGAATTACTTCTTCGATTGGAGGTGGTTTTGGTTAGTATGTCGTCAAAGCAGTTTGACAATGAGTTGTCATGAAAATCATAAACTAATGATAATACTTCAAATTTCATTATGTCTTCAACCTTGAGTATATTTAGCGATTTATAGAAATGATTTACGCTTTTACGTTTACTTTTCCTAAAGACAATTCTTAAAAAATTATTACAAATGCTTTGCAATTTCGAGACAAGTGTATTATTACCATGGAGCCAGACTGAGCTACAATATCGGATATGACTTAGTAGTAGAGATTGAAACATTGCTAGTAAAGCTGATTGATTAACGCACTGGGATACTTTAGCAGCAACTGCCAAGTTCCTTTTTGTTTTACCAATAACATGCAACATTTGTGATTTCCATGATAGATTTTCATCAAAGATAACTCCTAGAAATTTTATTTCTTTCACTCTTTCAATTTCATTGTCATTGAGCAGTAGTGGTTTTGAACAACTCACACTTTTATGCTTGCTTATGTAGGAATGTCCATACAATAAGCAATGGAATAACTGCTATCTACAACCTAGCTATATTACCAGGCATTTCATATTTGCAGATTATTGCGATATATATTTTGTATACCATGAGTCATGTTAACAGAATTAAATTAATACGGCAATAGTGATTTGAATTTTTGCGCAACACAAAATCATCCTGGTAAAACGCCCATACTTTTAAATGCCAACCATTATTTAAATTATTTGCCAAAAAGCGGGGTAAAGTATCTATATATTTTTATGTATATAAGTATTTAAGAGGTATTTTTTCGATTTGTGACAATTTTTTCGTGAGTACAAAAATTCGATTCAAAAATTAATTATATTCGGGAACTTTACCACACATTTTAAGTCTATATTGTGCCAAATATAATTAGTTTTTGATTCTTATTTTCGTACTCACGAAAAAATTGTCACAAGTCGGAAAAATAATTTATACTTTATTCCGCTTTTCGGGAACTAATTTGGATAATGGTTTCCATTTTTTTGTATTTAAAAGTATGGACTTTAAAGTATGGATTTACTAGGATGATTTTGTGCTACGCAAAATATTCGAATCCATGACCGATACCGCTATTTAAAATGCCTTACCGTGTTAATTAAATTATATTATTATACCTCAATCGGGCAGTTTACCACACAGTTTAAGTCCACAGATCGCCGTTGCATTTTAGAATTATACTAGTTTTATTATTTTGTAAATACGAATCCGACATTAATTATAATTGGGCCGTTTACCACCTATTTCATATCCACAAATACCCACGGTATTTGGTATTAATACTTTCATTATTTTATCAATATGAAAATAGGAATCAATATTTAATAATATCGGTCAGTTTACCACACATTTTATGTCCACAGATTGTCGATACAACCATGAGTTACGTTGAACAGAATTAAATTAATACGGCATGACATTTTAAATGCTGGCCAGTCATGGATTGGATTATTTTGCGCAACAAAAAATCATCCTGGTAAAGGATCGATACTTTTAACTATCATTATCAAAATTATTTGCCAGAAATTATTTTCTAATAAATCGATTTGTTTTTCCAACTTGTGACAATTTATTGGATATCGTAACAATTACGGCTAAAAATACCGTATTTCCCGGCTAATAAGTTTACATGGCAAATAGGACCATGTTAGTTTGGTAGAATCATACTCACAGAATTAACTATTTTTAACAATAAAGCGGTAAATTTAAGTTGTAAAGCGGCAATCATTTTGGACAACCTATTAACCCGAATTTTGGAATGTGATAAGTACTACACTGTATGTCCACTGGTTATTTCACAGCTGTGTTTTCCTTTCCCTGTCGTTTTCTGCTGAATCGACAAAACGAAAGTGTCACAAATCACTTTATCCCGGTGGCCATGTTTATTATTAAAATAACGATAACCGGCCTGCGATTAAATATCATGATTGGCAGACCCTAAGACCCAAATATAAGGTTACACAAATCATGCTTGAGAAGACTCATGCGAATAATAAGCAGGCCACATAGAAAGAAATTAACATACTTTCTCAATTAGACGGAAAAAAAATCAGGCCGAAAAATTGGGCCTAGAAAAACGGCTAATTAGCCGGGAAATACGGTGATTGTCAATTTTTCGACTAATGGAAATGAATTTGTAATGAACTCGTAGACGAATGTCGGCAATGTCCACCCACGCAAACGTGCAAATGTGTCGCAACACTATGCGACGTACTGTCGCACAGAATATAAACAATCAAAGTGCCGATTCATCGTCATTACAATACGCGAGACAGCGTAAAAAGTCGTTTGAAGATTCCGGTAAAACGAAACACCACGTTTACGGCGAAAGTGGCTACTATTCGGAATTATTCGAAAATCAGCCGAAAAGGTATTCGAATACTTTGATATTCGAATACTTTCGAATATTCGATTCGTTTTGGACAACCCTGATTACAATTTGTTTAACAGTGATTTACTAATCCTCATATTACCAATACGCTGTTCATTGTATTTTATTATATTTTGCAAAGCTCTCATTTTGTAAATAAGCAAAAGCCATACATGGCCCATTTTAAAATTTGAATCCAGATCTTCCAGCTGACACTAGATTCACTTCACATCCGGTTTCCTACTTCGAGGGATGATTGTTGACTCTAAGTCCGATTGCCCTCTTAGGTTTGAACGCCAAAATAAATTTCCTTTGGTTAACTGAATTCGATTTATGATTATTATGGAATCCAGAATAGTCATTCACCCATTCCACTGACTTAAGAACTTTAAAAGTAGGATTCGTCCCCAACAATCATAAAAAGTCAAATCTGTTTCTCTAGTTTTGTTTCTTGCGATTTTAAAATCCGAGAAATAATTAATTTCCTTTGGTTAACTGAATTTGATTTACGACTCTTATGAGATCTAAGTAAAGTCATTTACCCACCACCCATTTACAGAGATT